TCTGTAAAAATATGGGATTCGATGTCCAGAATAATAATTTTGTGGAAAAAAAGATTTTTTATTTTGGTGTTGAGTTTGTTAACCTCTTTTGCGGGGGAATTATGCGACAAAATATTGGATAATAAATGGTTTTCCATCGAAACATTGATTCAAAAATCATGGATTATATTCATTGAATACTCAATTCGGTTGCATATATTGTATACAGTAATCGGTTCTTAAATACCAGAAACAAGTTTTGAAAAACTTTTAAATTTTGTTTTTATTGTACATTCAATTCAGTGAAAATAGTTTCTTTCCATTCATTTATCATTCAATGAGAAAATTGTTATTATTATTACAGAATATCTTACGAATTATCAATAAAAACCAATTTATTGAGACTTTCAGTGAATGTCTAGTTTGTGATTGCAATACAAATACTTACTAATATTGTCAACCACTTCCTCTAAAGCAATATAATTATGACTAACTGTGCGTTTGACTGATAAAACCGTTCACTCCGTTGAGAAGGGGCTCTGCATCTCATTAACAGATACAGTAAATTGATGGCCATATCAACCACTAATGGAAAGGCTTAGTCGACATTCCTTTGCCTATCAATTGGCGCACCATTTGAGGGTCAATAACACACGTGAGAGACAATACCAGCTCTTATGCGGACGACTCGATTAGCGGAATTGAAAGCAAAATGATATAAAATATAAAAATCAAATGCAATTGTAATGATTGAGTGAGAATTAAGAAGTCAATCAAAATTCAAACCAATTTTAAACTTTATTATGGAATGAATGTTCGGACAAAATGAACAAAAAAGATAATTAATGTCTTTTATAATAATAATTGTTAATTAGATATCAATCATCAGAAATCATGATAATCAAAATTCAAACCAATTTTAAACTTTATTATGGAATGAATGTTCGGACAAAATGAACAAAAAAGATAATTAATGTCTTTTATAATAATAATTGTTAATTAGATATCAATCATCAGAAATCATGAAAATACATAACTTATATCGAGTGATACGGATAGTCGAGGAGAGAGATAGACACTGGAGTCGAGTGGGAAGGGATGCGCGTAACACTCAATGCTTTTGTTGTCATAATTTGAAAAATATGTTTGAGTTCCTGACTAGCGTTTAGTTCAAGAGATAGTTATATAAACAAAGAGTACATCTATTTATAGGACAGGGAGGAGAGAGAGGAGATAAGAGTAGAGGCGGAACGGGAGGCGAGACGACGTGTTTTACTCGCAGGTGGCGATCGGTTTCACTCACAACTACTATTTAATTATAATCAATACAGTATTAATAAACAAAAACCTCTTAAACGGTTCAATTAGTGTCTTAAACGACACAAAAATATAAGGTTTTTGTCATCAAATCAATCAATCAATGGGTGTTTATATGTATTTGTTGTGTTCTGTCAATACATTTGTTTTGTTTTTGTTGACCTAAAAGTCCGCAACACTTAAACGAATTGTACACTTAATATAATCGATAAGAGGGGGAAATAAACCAAATAATCAAACAATTAAAACAATAATAGACATCAAAAGAGAGGTAGAGAGAGATGGGAGAGAGAAGTGAGAGATAGAGAGAGAAAACATAAATATAAACAATAGTTTGATTTGTTTTGTTTGGTGTTTGGAGTCAAATATTGAGTCCAATTTATATTATAATAAGTTGTGATTCGCGTCGAAAACACTTGGGGTTTCGCTAAATCAAGAGCTCATTCGCGATGACTCGTACTCCTCGTCGTCCTGACCGTCATTTCCGACTCGAATTCGCTTAAGTGATAGACTACTGGAGTCCACGTCATCGGCGGCCGACACGGCAACCATTGTGGGCCCCGTCTCGTCGCCTGTCGTATGACTACCGATTGTCATCACCGCAGAGTCAGGTGCCGGCCGTTTCATCGCCACCGCCGGAACCGACACTTTGTAGGCGTTGGCCGCTTCCGTGCCGTAGACGCGCGATATGACCGACGAGTTGCCATTTCCGGCAGAGTTCGAGAGGGGCGGCGCCTGTACTATAACCGTCGGCTGAGATGTCGTCGACGATAACGAGGTCTGAAGTATTATTGTGTTGTTGTCCACAGCTATGGCGCGCGGGGCTGACGTCCGCGGAAAACTCAACTCGTGTTCTGTAGTATTGATTACACAAACAAATTAAACACAAATTAAAATCAATTTTCAAATCAAACGAAAACAGAGAAATTGGTGCCGAGAATCGAAATCAAAACAATTAATGACCGAAATCTTTGTCACTAGAGTTGACACCATTGGTGGGCATTGAGGTATGAGTGACCACTAGTTCTGGTGATTTGTCCGCAAATTGCGAGACATTAAAGTCGGATGTGTTGGCAATTCCTGTCATTAAAAGTGTTTGACATTAGATTCTCGGCGAGAGTGGGCTAACTGTGCAACTGTTGGGGCCATTACCTGGCGAACCGGGCGCTGATTTGCTGGTGAATTTGTATTCTATAGTGGTTGGCACTGTTAGGTAAGACGATGGCGGACCCATCGACGATATTATTTCGCTTTCTAGAGGTTCAGGTATAGGACTGGGCTCTCGGGACAGGTCCTCGGGTGTGGCCAACCCGCTGGTCAGACCACTGTGGTTGGGCGAGGCGGGGGCCGACCGGGAGGCGGAACCGCCCAATTGGTTTCTATAGCACGTCATCGGCCGCTGCCGTCGCCTTTTGAACGCCTGTTCAATGAGTTTAGGCTCCGACTGAGCGTCTATTTTCCAAAAGGATCCCTTTCCCGGCTCCTCCTGAGAACGCGGCACTTTCACGAAATACCGGTTCAACGATAGGTTGTGCCGAATAGAGTTCTGCAAAGTGTAGACACAGTGTCAGCGATCACTACTACAATCAATGGCAATGAGTGGGACATACCTGCCATCCCTTATCTGCTGTCCTATAATACGGGTAATTCTTTGTGATATACGAATAGATTCCGCTGAGTGTCAGCTGCTTATCGATGGCCGACGATATCGATTGAACTATGAGTTGAGCGTAAGAGTAGGGAGGCTTCGAGTCGTCCACTTCGCCGGGACTGTTGGCATTGGATTCGTGTCCACCCGATTGTGGCACCAAATAATAATCATTACTAATGTTGTTCGATGGGGGCGCCTCCCGGAGACCCATAGACATCGACTTTGGCGTAGACTCGTTGTGCGCCACCCCTACCCGGTGCTCGTCGGTGGCCACGGCTGCCGCCGCGTACGCCACCATCATCTGAAGATCCCTCGACGACTCGTTTCGGTGTCGGCCTCTGGGACTGGCCGGACACGAGTTGGCGGCACTGACACCACACAGAGGGCAACCAAACGTGCTTTAGTGACAACATACACACGACTGTTCAAGAGGCATACCTTATAGTTCCAGCGGGTGATGGAATAGGACTGGCGAAGTCCGGGTCCGTCGAGTCGGGAATGTTCACCTTCAGGGGTGCCATCGACTGGCCTTTGACTGACTCGCGCCCGGAGTTAGAACTCGAGTCCTCGACCAATGATTGGAAGACTAATTTGATGTTTGTTGAGGGGAACCGGAGGATACACCTACAATACACGACAGTAAGCATTACAGAAACCCGTTATAATCAATCAATTATCAACTTTTTTACAGTAATACTATTAAATTGAAAAATTTCCAATCAATGAATGAAACATATTTCATATAAAAGCGTTATATCATAGGATTCAATGAATTAACTATTAGTTAATGCCTCATAAACAACAAAAAAATTAAAACAAAATTCCTGTGAAGTAATACAGGAATGAATTCAAAGTATATGTTAATTAATGGCTCACTTCAAGGGAATGGGATGTTGAGGAACAGCCAAAACAGTTTGTTTGTTACACTATTATGCCTGACATTGACTTTTATAAAACTATTCATTCAAAACCCAATACACGGCCTAAACATAACCATAACATTGAACTGAAACGCTAACAAAACTAATAATAAGTTGAGAGAAAAAATACAGCATTTATTTTAGTGTTTAGTATTTTTCTACACATTACTAAAATACATTACAATAAAAATCATTTTGCTTTTTGACGTATAATTCAAAGCAATTATAGCTTGAGTTGAAAAATAGATGAAAAGGATTCATGCGATCAATGCGTGTAGAAGTGCCTCACAATCAATGCATTTGTGTTTTAAACTCAATATAAATCAATGATTAGTGATTAGTGTATCTATTAGTGGCTCACTGTAATGAATACACATTTCCAGATAGATATCAATGCGAATAACACATGTAATCACAAAGTCTGCCATAATTGAGATGTTTTACTCATTTCTTATATTATAAACCTATTTGTCATTATATCTTATATTTATTAATAAATGCAAATTATATGCTTTACGTAAGGCGTTAGACTTATGTCTCATAAAAATGCATTTTATTATTAGGAAATGTTTTGAAAGCATTTCTGTGTTTCACTATTTTGTAAAACTAGTATTCAATACATATGTGTGTGAGAGAGAGAGAGAGAGAGAGAGAGTGAGAGAGAGAGAGTAATTAAAACAATAATAGACATCAAAAGAGAGGTAGAGAGAGAGAGAGAGAGATTAAATGGAAACAACAAATCGTTTTTATGAAGTCATATCAGACGTCATACGAGAAATAATAATAAGAAAAATGCAACTAAAAGTATAGCAAAAGTTTTTTTGTAAACAAATCTAATCATGAAAACAGTAAACTTGACTTAAATGTTGACTTAAATTGCATTCATTTTACTTTCGACTTTCATGTAAATAATGTAAACATTTTCTCAATAGATTAAAACAACTATTAGTGAACTATATTTGATGAAAGCATATAAAAATTAATTTATTATAAAACAAAACAAATTGCAAATCTGTTGTATTTAAGTGTCATTCAATCAAATAAAGTGATGCAAATAACTTATGCAAAAAATCTGTTATTTATAAACATTTATAACAATGTATAGAAAAATAGCATTTCATTCACATTGCAAACTAAATATTGTATTTTTTGCCTCAAAACACAACACAAAAAACAATTTATCAAACAGTTTGGGTTTAGAGAGAAATACTGCAAGTGTTGGTCCAATCCGTTGCTATCAGACACTGGAGACTGAGGTCGGAGGGGAGGGAGAAGTGGAAAGGGTTTCAATGTTGTTGTTGTTGGGGAGAGAGAGAGTGAGTGAGTGAGAGAGAAAGAGAGAGAGCAAGTGAGAGAGAGCAATGTTTACAATAGGAATAGGTAAGAGAGCGGTTTGTAACTCATATCCCAGTATACAATGTATGGAAACATATCTATATCTCCACTCTTCACAGAGACAGTAGGGCTCAGGTATGCATTGGTGGTGGCGTTGGTATAGAAGTGGTAGGACTGTTCGACTAACGCATAGCATAACTACTTCATAATGAGGTCACGATATGATCGGGTTTTCAATGAAAACAACATTTAATAAATAGAAAGGCATTGAAGGCAAACAACAGTAAATACAGTATATGTGAATAAATGCTGAGTTTAGCCGTTATTGTCATTACAGACAACTCTCTCCATAAACAATACATTTCTATTCAATTTACGTCCAAATGCTTCAACAAAATATACAAAACAACTCGCGATTCGTGTTCAATAGGTTTGAGTGAAAATTAAAATTAAAAAACATTTCTATAAAAGAGAGCAAAGAATTGAAACAAAAAACTCTTTAGATATGAAAACAACAAACGATTGAAAAGCCATAAAAGCGTTACTATTATTACTCAATATATAAATAACAACATAAATAGTATATAAATAAATGAATCATTAGTTGTGAACAGAAAACAACAATAATTGACAACAAAATACAACTAATATTCATAGCATTACTGTTAGTATAGGAGAGACAACACATGTCTGACAACACAAACACACCAACAATAACAACAAACACCGATAGCAGTGGTGGGGGACAGGTATGGCTGCGGAGTGGCAGACATTAGAGACACCACAGACACAGAGAGACAATGGTTGGGGACTCACGTCTTGGGCAGCTGCAGGTGCGGCGCGCCCTTCCTCTGGAAGACGCCGTCGACGAAGACGCCATTCTTGCCGTTGCAGATCATATAGAAGTGGTGACTGTCGTAATGAATCTCAATATGTCGTCGGGAGATGAAGGACGAGTGACCCATATTGACGTCCACTTCGCCGCGGGAGGAGTTCCTGCCGATAACAATGCGGTTCTGTCGGATCATGAACTCAAACTCGCGAGTCTCGAGCCGTGCGATGGGTCGCGACTCCTGATTGGGCGCCCACTGGATGCTCGACGGCGAGGCCGGCGCCGACTTCAGCGCCAACAGAGCCCACGCGTCGCTGTCCGACGCCCGGGTGAACGACGCCATCGCGCGGGCGGCACAGGGCGGCGATGGGGCACACGTGGCACTGGGGGTTGTCGTGGCTGACTGGTCCTCAGAGG